GTGTGATGGAGAAGGGGCCGGGGTTGCACTGCTCCAGGCCTCTTCCACACCATGCGTCAAGGTGCATGTGGAGCTGCCAATGCCCACAGAGCGGGGCTGGGGATCCAGATCCCAGTGCACTGATTGCAGCCTCCTGGCTGCCAGCCACATCTGGCCCAGGCTCTGGGCAGCTGCTGCCGGCCATGGAGCCCCAGCTACTCACAACAGAGCTTGCAGACTCCCTACTACCTGCTGTGAGCAACCCAGGCTCCATGGCCAGCAGCAGCTGCCCAGAGCCTGGGCTGGCTGTGGCGTGCCGAACAAAATGGCCTCACATGCTGTGCTCTGGCACACGCGCCAGAGGTTGCTGACCCCTGGTATAGGAAGCAATGAAACAGCATTGGTTGGTATGATAGGCACTGTGCTGTGCACCTGCAGACTAAATGTCAAATTCTTGTAGGCATACTGATAAGGACATTTTGTGTAGTATTATACAGGAAGTTAATAAGGTTGTTTTACCAATTTTTACGAAGGGTTCATTCAAAGTGTGAGGGGTAAAATGAGATAAAGCACAAATGCAGCTGTCTGAAAACATCTGCTTTGAGTATTAGTTCTCTTCCATTCTTGAGTCTTTCTTTCAAGAGCTTGTCATTTTACAAGAACATCACAGATCTGTTAAATAGTAGCCTTCCAAAAGGGACTTGAACTGCTATGGACTATTACCTGTTTGCTATAACTTTGTTTAAAAATGTATAATATTTACTGGTGTCATCTGTTACCTGTACATATAGGGTAAGCTCTAGAGTTTGTTATTCTCTTTCATTGGAAGTTGGACAGCTTGGGGTTTGGTTGCATTTCAGACTTAATGCCAAATGAAATCAATGCAAGGTTCTCCATTTTCTTAGATGGATTCTGGATCAGGCTGCAGTTCTACCTCATCTACCATGATGTATTAGGTTCACTGCAGCCAGGCTTTGTGGCAAAATGGCAGACCACATTTCTTCTCTGTATGGTCTGGGACAAATTCTCCTGTTCTGTTTCACATAAGCGAAGACTGAAGATGGACTGAAAACTAAGTCCATCATCCCTGGAAACAAGACAATACGACTTTTACTTTCTAAATATTTCAGGCAGAAGGCAGAACAGAGGTGTATCTTACAGGTTAATTGAATCAGAGATGGATAAATTTTTGTGAGCCACAGCTGAATTCATCATAGGCTACCTCTCGCTCTTCTAAATATTTCTTTAGACATCATGAAATAAAAAGGGTAGATTGAAACAAAAAACCAAAATAACTGACAAGCAGATCATATCTGTTCTGGGTGGGTTTCAGAACGTGTGGGTAAATTGGGCATGTTGTGGAAGCACAGGGTAGCAAGAGAAGGTAAGAGCAGGGTTCTGCTGGGACTAATTCTCCACTATCATAAGATAGCCTTGACTTGTATTAGGGGCAAAATGGCTCTGAATCATAGCACATATACAGTGAAGAGCCACTTTGTTTATTTATTTAAATGATCCAGGAGCAACTAGTCTAACAAGCTATCAGAAGAGGTTTGTGGGAATTGCCTCTAGGGAACTGCAATTTTCTCTGGCAGCCAATGTCTGATCAGCAACTAGGAAATGAATTTGGCGAGTTGTCTAGTAGTTATAAGGAAAAATAAAATTAATTTGCACATTCTGTTGGGGCATAACATGCGATTTAGAGGTTGCCTGAATTTTTTAATAAAGTTTATAATATTTTTGCAGCTGCTAATTTATGGAGTAGTTAAAAGACTTGCTTATATCTTTAATGTAAGTGTATGTTTATATGTCTAAGCTTATAAA